CCAAGACAAAAAGCAACAAACCCCCCCTCCGCCCTGAAAAAACGGAGAGAAATTCTTTAGAGAAACCCTTTTTTATATATTATGTACATCACGTTATACTGGGTGCACTTGATTTTGACAAATTAACCAAAAAACTTGATTTTTGCTAAACGTTGGTGGTTTTAGACGGTATAATTTTCGTTTTTATTATTATTTTACCATAATATCATTATCTCGACACGTTTACAGACATTGAAGAACACACAAAAGGGTCGCATTTTTAACATACCGGTTACACAGGTTTTGCACTTGCCACGCACTAGAATTAGATATTATACATAATTATATATATATATATATATACCTATATATATATCCAACGGTTAAATCACAAATCAACATAATATAAATACATTACACTCGTGTACCTATTGCCGGTCGACTTTTAATATTGAACTTGATTTTACCGGTTAGCTAAAAATACTTAAAAAAAACAGCATACTACTTGTGTGCCATTCACGTACCGGTCGTATAAATGAAACGAGACTTGTGTTGTTAGGTCAATTCAGTATCGCCAAGAGTAATAAAATACACGGTAAATACACTAACGGTAATAAAAAAAAAATACCGGTACAGCTATTTACTTCAGCAAGTATTTTCTAAAGGTTTAAAGTTTCCACGCGGATAACAAAATCGAAAATTTTTAAACAGTTTTGTTTGAAAAAAAAAACCGATCATAAAAAATATAAAATCAATAAAACAACATTCCATATTTCCACAACAAACAATTAAAAAAATACAAGTCTTAATGCCAACTCTAAAACTGACCATTGTTAATTTTTTATTTGATTAATTAATATTATTTTCAATAATGGGTTGACTTTTTATTTAATTTTGAGAACATATTAAAAACATAAAAGGTAACATTTTTCAAGGATTACTTGCAAATTCAAAATGTGGCTTTGCAAATTAGCTATAGTAATAATGCTATGGTAAGAATTTCCAAATGTTGGAAAGGATAGATAGAAAATAAATGTTACTTTTGTTTTTTAGATGAAACAAATTGAACGTAAACCCGTTTTCTATTCGAACCCCTTTGAGCTCCACAAGAGTAATGACAAAAAATATAGTAAAGATAAAAAATCGTCTAGACGCTTCAGCTGTCTTCGTAGTGCCAGCGAACCCGGTCGAGCAAATCCCAAAGCGCCCGCGGACTTGACATTTTGATAAAAAAAAGAAACAGTTTTTTTTTTATTTTGTACTTAAACTCGAGTTGTAAAACAAACAGACCGCTTTCAATCCCCTTAACTGGTTTGGTCAACATTAAAGTGTTGTCTAGCTAGTACAAAAACATTGTCCGTTAAATTATTATAAACTTTTTCTCGTTAGTTTTTCAAACATGTCTTATACGGTCGGAGTAGGACTTTTACCTAAGAAAATAACAACAAAAAAACCTACAACGATCAGGCGGATGTAAAACGTAGGTGCATGACGTGTATTAACGTACAGCGCACTTGCGTTATGTAATAAGAATAATTATTATTTTATTTAAGTCCCAGACATGGAGATAATCATATTATGTGTTCCCTCAGCTTATGACGGCAAGGAGTTATGTAATTTCAGAATTTTCCAACAAAATCACAAACACACAACCCGTTTTACCCGCACAAACGCACTTACTATAATATACGTGTTAATGCAGTGCGTTTATTGTGTACATACCACACAAACCAATAGCATATTAGTATTGTATACTATATATTATTTCACCGTGTACTGGAAATACTGTTGGAGTGGATTACCATTTTAATAGGCGCGACGAAGGTCGGCAAGGAAAGTGATTAACGGTCATTATAAAGATTATTATCGAACGATAACAGGTCACACCATACCATATTTTTTCCCCTATTATTTTTTAAACCATTAGTTTTTTTCTAATTAAGCAGCACGGCACCGCGGTTCTGTCAAGTTTTCAAAATTGCCAATGATATAATTTATTCATAAAAACATTTGTACCTACACAACACACACAGTAGGAATGGGACAATAAAAATTCAAATTTTACCCCCAAAAAAAAATTATTCTGGCCATAAAAAGTGTTAGCAATACAACTTATAGACACGTGTGTCTAAATGCGGAAATATATCTATCAAAACTCAAAGAAAAAATTGTTTAAAATTAGATTTTTTTGAAATTTTTGTTTATTTTCTATGTTTTAAACACATTTCCACTTGTACTACATTTATATTTGGACCATTTCTTGATATTGCATTTAAAAAAAAATACTAAAACAAGACAGCGCACAAGTCCCACCCCTAATAGTCTCAAAGAGTAGCCGAGTTGGGGTAATTTCCGTTGACATTTGGATTTTTGACTCGTGACCTTTTTGGGTATTTTTTAGAAAAAAAAAAATACAAAGCGCCATCACACACAAAGCACACGATTGACTTGTTAACGTTTTGCGACTTCTAGAATAAACAAAGATGTTATTTCTTACATCGGTTTAAGTTGGTTTTGACCGGTTATTATGCGGGCATAGGCCACGTGGAGAGTAGCGGACGGGGGTGGGGGGGGGGGGTAATTAAAAATATGCGTTTTATGATAATTATTATATTATCGTTGAATGATAAAACACTCTAATATAGACACACGGCATGGTAATCGATATAGACAGTCACAATATATTATATTAAGTGTAAAGTCTAGGTGCGTCGCACTGTGGCGAAAGGACACGTTCTGCTTTCACCAACAGCTGCTATCACACAAGCATGATGCACGCTTTCCAAACCGGATGGACTCGGGCGATAGAATCCGAATCATCGTAAAAGAGTACTTTCCATACGAATATTATACCCACGTATCTCTAAGTCTTAGCCCCTACTTCCCTATTGACTTCCGACAACTGAACGCACGTGCAGGTGCATATACATACACACACAAGTTCAATATATGTACACCGTTGTTTCATTAGCCAAGCAGCTTATATTTATATATTATTATTATTATTCGCCAATGTCATTTGTACATCCGCCACCGGAAGTGTTGTTTTCTGCTGTTGTCGCTGACTTCTTGAATGCAATTTTGCCAAACCGAAATAATAATAACTTGTAGGTATACATAACAGCCGTAAACGCCGCCAAACGCTTTCTACATGACTAATAATTATGTAACACGATAGTATATTATATTAGGTGTATCATTAAATCCGTTTAATTTCCTTTGGCCGCTCGCGGCCAGTGAAACTAGTTTAGATCAGGCCAAATCACAGTTGGGTCATATTCGAATTAAAATAGATTATTAAGTTACCTAACTGGTGGTATTTTATTATTGAAATTATTTTTTTATTCGAGTAATGATGTTGTTTGGAAATTACTGGGCAAAATATTACTTTAAATTTCAATCTTTTCTTTCGGTCACACATTTTTTTTTCGTAGCTATTTAATTAAATTTTAAGCACAACTTTGAGGAAGTTTTGGGGTTTATCTTACCCCTCCCCTCTAAAATGTGTGAGAAAGTTTGAAGTATGTTGAAAACAAAACTGGCAACGCCGAAGGCTGTCACGGGTTAACTCGTGAATATATTATAATTATTATTTGGGAATTCACGATAAGGACATTAACCGCAATGTCAGCTATGGCAGCTGATACGTTTGACGGTTTTTAAAATGATAATAAAATGCCATAATGATGTATTAATGTCAACAAATTAACATTAATTAATAAATTATTGAACGCATTACAATGTGTGTTCTAATATTCCATTGACAAGATGTAGGCACTTGAGGGTTTTTTCTAGTTATAATTTTCAATGCCGAATCCCCACATAAGTACTGATAAATTATTATATAGATATAGGGTTATCACTATGGTCTGACAGATTTACATACATCTATCATTTGACAGTGACACACCTTATGTTGATAACGACATATTACATTAAATACGTTGTATTAGTTGTAGCTGAACCATATAGTACAACACAGTCAAGTGCTGTCGACTGTTTAATGTTCAAACGCAAATCTCATCACCGAGAACTGAGGCTATATACGACTCTGACAGACTAAGCTCTGTATGATAATAATTGGTCTGTGGAGATTGTGCCATAAGCCATAGCCATAGCAATAATATCATGTTTTGTTCAAACAATCAAACATAACTGCTACAGTAGGTACTTGTTAGTTAACAGGGTGCTTATTTTAATATTTTCAAAAACAAAAAACCCTAAAACGACATCATCAGCGGACAATGCGATTACAGTTTTTAGTACTTTTAACTTTCCTACATTTGTCTGCCAACACCATAGTATCATTATTATGTCTACTAGCGTTTTTTGTCAACGAACAGCCCCCTTGTGGGAGATTGAGTTTTTAAAAAATAAAATATTATAAAAAAATGCGAACAGAGAGGTGCATAGAAAAGTTTCCACGAAAATCACAACATTATTATACAATATATATATATTATGTATAAGGGGATGTTGTATTATGATGATGATGATGCCAAAAAGATATGTACGCTTTACACACACCCAGCCGTTGGCACACGCTTAACCCTTTTGTACAAGATTGACATCAACACGTGCACAACGTACCTAGTTATCTCTTTGTCCATCAAGTGCGTGCATGCCTCCCGTGATTAATGGTCCATTTGTATTCACACCGTTCGTGCAACCGTGGATTACATTGCCTAGGGTCCGTACCGTCTTGTGGTGGGCACGAGAAATTAATTTCATTTTATTTTCTCCGGCCAGCTTCCTATTTTTCCTGTTTCTTGTTGCCGCTTTCGTCTCATGGTAAAAGTTTGGACATAATAAAAGTTTGGAATGGCCAAAGTTTTAGGACGTTTAGAAGACAGTCCGCTTTCTAATTATATACCTAGGGGTGGTCCACACCACCGTTTTCATCCCTCGTGAATTATTTATAGCGCGCCCAGGTCTGAACTTCGGTATCATTCTGTGGTGTGGTTTAATCGTTGTTTAAAAAGTAAATAATTAATACTAATTGCGTTTGTTTGTTTTTTCAGCCACGACAGAGATCAACCTTTCACGTTCCAGTTGGGCGTGGGACAGGTGATCAAGGGATGGGATATGGGACTTCTCAAGATGTGCGTGGGCGAAAAGAGAAGATTGACCATTCCACCTGAGTTGGCGTACGGCGACCGCGGTGCAGGAAACGTCATTCCCGGAGGTGAATATCTGTTCAAATAAAAAAATAACAAAAAAAACAGCTATTATCCACAATATTCGTATTCACACCGTTCTCGTGTCCTCTTGACGACAGCTCTTAAAAAATTATTACTTCCACGATTTCCATACTTAAGTAACTTAATTGTCTTGTCCGAACAAAACTAGAAAAAAAAACCTACAAAGCCAAGAGGATGTAATCTAAGTCACATAATTTTGTTCATACACAATTACTCATCATGAGAAATAATATTATGTAATATTGAGATAGCTGCTATTCTGAACAAACTGACTTTCTCAAGTAGCCGATTTAAAAAAAACAAATTAGTTATAAAAAAAGGTAAATACATTTTAAAAAGTAGCACCTCTTTTGTGTTTTTTTAGTATCAGCTATTTTTAAAAAATATTAGGTTTTTGTAATATTATAAACTCTTTCTTTAATTATGAAATTTAATGATTCCACAACATTATTCTGTGCAATCAGCCATTTTGTAGCTGTTTTCATAGTGAGTTGTAAATAAAAAAAATGTCTTGTGTCATAACCATTGGCACAACTAAAGAAGGGGAGGAGGAGTAGAGTAGTTTAGATCTTTTAAAATATTTTAAAGCTCCACACAATTGCGATAAAAATTAAAAGCGTTACTTGAGGCCTAAGTCTGATTGTTTGCTGACAGTTGCAAATGTACTTGACTCGATTTCCTTGGAGTTGGGTGAATAAATCCTTAAGTTTAAAATAAGTAAATTAACGACCCATAGTATGATAGACTTGCATAATTTTTTTTAGAGTGTTTAGATAGAAAATTAAATTAAACTAAAACGAATGTACAGGGTGATACAAATTTAACGTAAGACACTGATTTTCTTGGAAAATAATTGCAATTTCGTAGTCTTCCTTTTTGAAAACAAGTTTGTGTATGTTACTTTCAGAGCTACATTCCAGAGCTCAATCAACTTTCAAAACCCAAATGTAAACTTTAATAACTCTAAAAGTATCTACCCAAAATTGGTTATCGGCCAGTCAAAATGTTCAGCAAATCATTCTTAATCTAGAAATGTAATTAAATACAGTACAGTACCGTTTAACGGGTCGATGCGACTCCGGAAAAAAATATAAAAACCTACAAAATTGCAATACCTATGTTTTTTAATCGATCACAAAATACATAATACAGGGTGTACCAAAAAGAACGGTGGGGTTTCCAACGGCTGTAGGTTGTGTGAAGTATATTGGAGAGACGTTTCTAGTGGCAGTCATTCACAACTCGACAACTCCCTCTTTCGTTCAAGCCCTACCAGAGCGCTGTAGGTCCAATACACAGCCGCTTGAAACCCCAGCATTCTTGACCCCAGCATTCTTTTTGATACACCCTGTACTATAAATTTAAATAAAAAAGACACTCAACTATTATCGTCGACAGGTGCCACATTGATGTTCGACGTGGAACTGTTGAACGTCGGCGACCAAGCTCCCACGACCAACGTGTTCAAGGAGATCGACCAAGACAAGGACAAGCAACTTTCCAGGGACGAAGTCAGCGAATACCTGAAGAAGCAAATGGCCGCGGCCGAAGGCACGGAAGGCGGCGAAGACATCAAGCAGATGATGTCGGACCACGAGAAACTGGTCGAAGAGATATTCCAACACGAAGACAAGGACAAAAACGGGTTCATATCGCACGACGAATTCTCCGGACCGAAACACGACGAGCTGTAAATGATAAAAACATTTTTAAAAAAACCTACACTTGAATTTGAAAAAAAAAAACAAAAAAAATCTCTCAAACTAACGTTAGGCGTATTATATATAATAATAATATCGAAAGTCGGAAGTCGTCGGAAGTCGGTCGAGTGGAAGAAGATTTCAGTGTTATAATATATTATTACTTATTCTTTCCCCCCCCCCCCATTTTTTTTTTTTTTATTGTGAAAACCAGAAAAAAATCGCCCGTAAAGGTGCCGTTTTTTTCTTCTTACGAATTGGTATTTATTATTAATTGTATACTCTGTTCAACGCAGACACGAAACTGTGTTTTTGCATCCGTGCGATTCAATAGTTTACTACAATTGGACTTCTTCTTAAAGTCCGCACGTTTTTTTTTTTTTTTTTTGTAATTGAAAAATGTTTTAAGAAGACTGTTGTAATAATAATAAAAAAAAATGTTTTATAATAAAAACACTCGTGTTGTTTTGTTTATTTAGACTGCAGGTATAATATTAACGTTATGGTGCTGAAATATGAAATACTAATTTAAGCGACTAATGTGTTGGAAATTAAGTTGAGTACATAATAATTGAAAACGCAAATTCTGACAACATGTCTCCATAATTTACCGTAAGACTATCTCCTTAAGGCCACACTCGCTAATAAGAACCTATGTAGGTAATTCCATCTAGTAATTCTGAAGTCCCTGTTATTTTCCCATTACGTCTTCCTTGTGTTATAGGTGGGATATCGACATGGATTAAATATGCTAATATAAACGGTTAATAACCGTTGGGCACCTACACTAAAATATGGGCTACATTATTACACCCGAATCGAAGCCATTTCGCAGAAGCAGAACTATTATAAAATAAAAAAATATTTGTCGAATGGACACGAGATGGACAGGCATTGTCAGTCTATCATAATAATAATTTAATTCATATTATTTGCCAAGATAACCGTACCCATGTTTAAGTTAATCTTTAATAAGAAAATTCAATTTGTATAAAAATAAAAACATGTGAGATAAGAAAGTGTACGCCTGAAAATTATGCAACGCCAGTTTGTGAGTATATGTCATTAACATAATATGTTGTTTACTTTATACTTGGGAATATAAGGGATATAATATTATAAAATGAACCAATCAATTGCTAGAGGAATCACATGTGTATAGTTTGGAAAAACAATTTTACCAAAATATTGAGGTAGACAATATGCTCTAAGTATTATGTAAATTTAACTTCAACCTAAATTACCCCTTAGACAGTGTACGCACAGTCACACACCAAAGCATGAATGTATACAATTTTCAAAAATTATAGGTACTATGTGTACTTATAAGTTGCAATGCAAGTGTATTATAATATTCATAAATGTTGGTGTAGTAAATAAAAAAAAGCTCCTAAGAGTATATTACACAGACATGCAGTAAATATAATACAAACACATACTTGACCCACAATTTACAAAATATGTGAGGTTAGGTTATTTTAAGCACTTTAGAGTTTAGATTTATAAACATTATAACATAAATATCAAGCTATTAACACCAATTAGCCAACGACGTTACAATAATAATAATGATCTGTTTATCAGTGACGTAGGTAGGTAAGTATATAGGAGTGCATTAGTATACCGTTTTTTTTAATGGAATTGCCTAATAGATTGTAAATTAAATATTACAACGACTATTAAGTATATAAATTGTATGTTTTTTGAGGAAACACCAAAATGATAGCTAAAATATTTAAATTTCTTGCAACGTTTTATAAAATAGCGTTTTTTTTTTGGTTTACAATTTGTCAAATAAGTATTACACACTTACTATGAAAAGCCATCAAAATTTAACTTTTTTGAAACAGCAACTAAGTACATATTTTATATTCGTACTTCTCTAACCTATACATTTTTTTTTTTAATCGCCTTCAAAGCTGCAATCAACTTGCATAGCTAAAATCAGGATTTTCTGAAATTATCTTTTGTGGGAAAAAACTACCATTTCGAATTGAGCATAGACAAAATAGTGTAAAGAAAACATTTTATTTTAATTTTAGAAAATTATTCAAACGCGTAGAACACATTTCACAAGAGAAATTCTGAGGCCAAATAAAATATTATACCTACATGTTTCCTGTGGTTGATATTCCAAAATCGCTTTGTACGGTGTAATTAACGTTGGTGTAAGTTTATTTTATCCCAAGGTAAAATATAAAGTAAAGTTAAAACTTAAGATTGGGCCTTATGAACCTATTATAAGTATTTGGAGTTTTTCCAACTATACATCATTTGCCGAAACGTGACAGATTTAATAAAAACATAATGTTACCAAAAAGTAACCATAATGTTACCAAAAAGTAATCATAATGTTACCATAAGTTACTATAGTGTTACTAAAAAAAAAAACACTAGAAATAATCTCTAATAGCTACTGGAAATATAATCTCTAATAAATTTTTTTTTTTTTTATTTAATCGTTAAAAATACCAACATTTTTTAAACATTTTCTTATTTTATTTATGAGCCTAGCTCAGTCAACGTCTTGAAGACACTCCTTCTGTAGTAAAATATACAATCCGTCCAGTGTACAAAAAAAAACACACAATAATATGTTTACAATATATTTAAAAAATACTTAACGCGTAGCCTGGTGGCGTTTCTTCGTATTGGTGTTGTTATTTCATTTCCGTACTTGATAGAAAAAAGAAAGAAATACAATATTATATAACATTGATTAGAAAGTTTGTTGTGGCTCGCACAAGAAGACCCGTGCACGACTCGAGGGCAGATAAGACAACAGTTAAGTACCTTATACACAACACATTTATTATTTTAAATACATATTAGTTTTCGTTGGTTTTTTTACTTTTATAAACAATTTTACCTTTTACATAACACAGCCGACAGCTTGGACCGCTATAGAAGTGTTCATAGTTTATAAGTTTTGTACCTGTTTTATACCAAAAAAAAATTGACTCACGTCAAGTGAATTTACATGTAAACATGTAAATTCTACAATAACTCTAATAAAAATTACCAAATTTGGCAATGCTCTTTATTTTAATTAACAAGAACGCCATACCATATAAACGATGCCCTCAACTAAAGTAATTTTAAAAAAATAATAAAGTTTAAATTACAAAAAAATTGAATTCAAAACAGTATTCTATTATGGTAAAAACAGTATAATATAAACAAAGTAAAAACGATCATAATAATATTATAAACCATAAAATAATTGTCAGTTAAGGCAAATGATGACCTACTCGTTTTATAGCTAATTTATTACACTTATTTATAACTTATTTTATGGCTAATAATATCGAAACAAGTTCAATAAAATAAAATGTCCAAGTTTAAATTGTCAATGATGGAAATACCAAGCAATAACCTTTAAAATCAAACGGTTTATGCTAATAAGACTTGCATTCCACAATCAAATATTATACATATAGATAATGTACAATATTATACATAGCACAATGTACCTCATTGTGCTATACAAAAACCCAACAATAGGTGGTAATATTATACACCTATTGGATTTTCGAAAGGCAATTTTGATCAAACGGGATATTAAATTTAGATAGTTTGTATAAATGTCTGAAAAAAAAACGCAATATTAAACACCAAGCAAACGTGACTGTGGCAATTGGGAATAGTGAAAATATTGTCAAAATGAGTCACCCACATGTGAAAACCGTTAAAAGGAGAACATCTTGTAAAATATAATATATGAAATCATGCAAACTAATCGGTACCACCTAACTTATTCTCGGCCAGAACTTTATTTGAAAGTCAATAGAAATTTTTATTATTGTCATATAAGTTATTACACTCATTCCAAACTCTCTCTCTCCTTTCCCTCTTGTTGATATTTTGCCAAACAGCAGAACACACACACGTCATAATATATCATTTTAATTCCAATTTCTTGAGTAAAATACATTTTTTGCTTACATTCCAAACACATGCTTACAATGTTCATATTTTTTTTTTGTGACACCCAAACGGAAAGTTTTCACAAAAAGATTATGGTTTTTTTTAAAGGGAAAAGTCCAAATGTATGAATGACATTTAAAAAAAACTTCATCACTTACATTACTGTACACACACTTTCACGGTGTCAGTCCATTAGGACAGTAAGTCAACATATTTAACATAATATATACCTGATATTTGACTGTACAATATCTCTTAAGGCCTATTTTATCTAGAAAATACCAATCTATGTTAACTCACATTAAATATACATAATGTCATGTTGTCAAATTGTGTATAAAATGAATATTCCACAACACTGCGGGTAATAAACATACCAATAAACAAAAACACTATTAACTAACTTTGTAAACTTTTAAGACTATCCAAAAACGTTAAATCCGCCTAGTGTACATCAGAATAGAATATATTATATTAGATTTGTGTGACAAACGGGCTGGGTTGATGTATGTACTTTCTAAACTTAAAGCTACAGATATAAACGTACCGTCTCAAACGTTTCTGTAGAAACTTACTTGGCTACAAAATTAAGTTCAATCAAGTGTGTGTTGTATACAGTGAAGTTGTCCAAGTTTTATCCCCCTTAATAAATACTTGAATGCAACTAAACCGACATACCTAATAGGATCTCTATAAATATTGTTCTTGATATAAATTTTTTTTTTACTATTGTTAGATCATACATCATTGTTCATTAAATTCATCTTCCTTTTTCATTCCACGTTGTATACAGGTCAACTTGTAAACGACAACAACTTAATGTCGAAATAATCAAACGCACTCGCTGTTTAGTGTAATAGTAATATAATTTATTAGCACCAACTATATATTATAATATATTATTAAAACGTTGTGTATGCAATCACACAAAATTAGAATATAAAAAAATAATAATAAATAATAAAAAAAATAATACGCATTAGTACAGTTTTATTAGTTAAAAATGAAGTGAAAAAAAAAAAAACTAGAAAGTTAGGAACTGAACACAATATATTTTGTATAAATGGTATTAATTCGAAACCAAGACATTTATGTTTTTTTTTTTTAGTAATTTATACAATTACTAGATTAGTCTAATCGATGAACAAATCATTTTTTTTTAATGTTAGCCAATAAAATGAGTAGTTATACTGCACCGAACGTAAAGTAACAATAACTCGTAATAAAATCGGTTATAAATAACAAAAATAGTAAATTTCTATTTTAAAATGTTAACATTATAAAACCGCATAATGTTTTGTTCACGCAATGCATTTTTGCAATTATAACAAATGAACAGTTAATCAAATATATTATTAACAACATTTGCACTGCGTAACGATACTAATAAAATTAAAAAAAAATATTTGCCACCTTACTCTAGTACGATAAGCAATAATTTGATTAATGACTACCAACAGTTTTAAGTAATTAAATATTAAGTATAATAATACGTAACTAATGTGATGGCTGCGCTTTAGCGGAAGACTAATATAACAAAATATCTTATCACTAATAATATGGAGCTTATCTCTTACAATGAAGTATTAAAAATACTCAAGACGTACTTTGTGTATCTTATAGACTCCGTGTCTTTATATAATATCATATTTACGTTGTAATTTTAAAAATATAATATATTTGCTTGAAAATTAGTAAGCACGAAAACGTAACAAGACTATAAAAATAATACTTATCTCAATTAACAAGAACACCATATGGCATATTAACAATATTGTGAATACTTATAAAAATAAAACTTTAATGGCTCGGTAATTATTAATAAAATATAAGCGCTGTTGTGTTGTCGCTTCTCAAAGTATATGCACATACTTATAACGAAAAATTGTAATTTTTTTTTTTTTTTAATAACCTTTGATAAAAAAAAGTAATAGAAGGTTATCGGGTACCCTGAAATTTGTGTACAACGACAGGATTTAATAAGAAAATAATAACACATTTTAATGCCTAAAAAAATAAACATTTAAGCTCGAATTTTTCAATTTCAATAGCGTTTTGTACTTTGAAATAAATCACTATAAATAGAGCTACATACCTTGTATCGATTAGTATAAATAGCTAGACAACTACTAAAAATTATTTGAACACTTTGAGAACCTATTCATTCTCGGCTCTGAGAATTTAATCCAAAACCACAATCGCACTTGATTATCGTGCTTGAAATTAATAATAATAAATATTAACTACTCTTTAAAATAATATTTAAAAAATATCGATGCGAGTTTATAGCGAATTCGTTGTAATAATTTAGTCAAATTCGATGCCGACTTGTTGACTGAATAATTAACATAGTAAAAAAATTTAACAGGTAACTCTATTAAAGCACGACTTTAAAGCGATAAATCGTTGTTTGATAATGTGTGAGTAATAAATTGCAATTTAAGCACCGCCAGCCAAACAATATAAAATAAAAGGCACTTGTATTAATATTAACTTGATGGAATGATTCAGTGGTCACATCATTAAGAAGAAAAAAACATACCTAAGTTTTTGCTTTAAGTTCATAATTTTGCAAAAATACCTTACCAACAGATGACCATATTGTAGTCTACAGCTAATTTTTTTTAGATTAGTGCCCAAAGTATGATTTATAGTTATCATCATTATTATTACGTAACTTATGCATAATTAAGCTTAGAATAAATATTGAACTCCTACGATGAATAGTTGCGATTCTTCCAAATCTTAATAATGATACCACGGTTGGCGTCTGACCCAACACAACCGAATGCCAGTGTCCGTTCTTATTTTAATCGAAGCCGCTTCAGCAGCCCGTACGGTTTCCTTGACAGATTGCATTAGATTCTGTGCATTGCCAACCAACATGTCTGTAGCCTCTTGGTCTTCTTCCGAGCCGTGAGCGCCCAACATGGTTGCTTTCACTGTTGACAATATCTTCAACTGCGTGCCAATAGTAGGTATGCGTTCGCATACTTGTAGTAAATTCTAAAAAAATTGTATAAATTATGTTATAAGTACTTCTAATGGTATGTATTAAACAATTTTTTTTTTAAAAAACACTAACCGTTCTCATTCTTTTATCGGTACACTCTCTCGCTAATTCTTTGGCCAACCGTGTCACTTCCTCAGAAGCTTCAGCGATGGCTTTGGCGCACGCAATCAGGTCTCGTTTGGTACCAGTTTGTCCGCGAACCAGTTGAGACAGACGGCCCATCAACACGGCCATTTTTTTTGCGGCAGCTATAATTTTATTGTCTTTACTAGACCATTGTCGCACTTCCTGATGAAGTCCATGCGCAGCCGCCATGATTGGTTGATTAGGCAGCGGCGCGTGCTTGAACATTTCGTCTTCGTCGTCCGTTTCGGCTGGTAACGGTGGCCTCGGTGGCGCCGCTTGTTCGCCTGGCAGAGGTGGACGCGGAGGAGCTATTTCCGGCTCGATAGAAAGATCATACAGGTCTGGTACAACAGTTATGGCGCCGCGTACGCCGCGAACAGCGTCAAGTAACGCATTGTTTGAATCGCGCCAACGTTTCACGGCTTGTGCGTCGTTTGTGTTCAATGCGACGGGTTTGGCGTCCTGAACCATTCTGGCGACGGCGGCTTGAAGAATATCCGCGGCTCTATTCAACGTAGCGTGGAACACAGGGTCTTCGGAGTTGTCAGCTTCTTGCTTGGCTACCTGATACACTCTGTTTCCCAAGCGAGCGATAGCCGTTGTGTGCTCAACCATCTTGTTGGGATCGTGTCTTATTATTGCGTCCTCGCATAATTTGGCGTGTTTACGCATTTGATCCTCTAAAATAATAATGATGGTTTTGTTAAATATGTTAACACAATACTATTTACACATAATAATAATAATGCACTCACCCGACAATCGGATGAAAGTTGCTGTATCGGTAGCTTCATCGCAAAGGTTACGCATATGAGTGGCAGTGTCCGCATACTGGGAACCCAAGTTGTCAAAATGTTCGCCGGCCAATTTATTGTCCGAGTACTGTGATCTTATCTGTCCAGCGTTGATCAATTGTGGTCCAAGAGATTCGAGTTGTGTAGCAGCTTGATTGAGTGCTTCGGACAATTTTTTTCCTCCGCTTCCAGTAGCAGCAACAAGCCTTCCTGTTCGACCGGCTCGTTTGGACCAATCGGACAATTTGTTAGCTCTATCGGCAAAATTGGCTTCTCTACCCGGAGTGCCTTTAAAATTAAAACAAAAACATGTTGTTACGAAATAATGAATTATCTAAATATTGTTAATACTCAGTAACTTTAACCCTTGTCCCTTGATTGGTCGCACTTTTAAAGAGCTCTTTATTAGATCCCACAAGACTAAATAAGAGTAAGATTCATTATGTAAACTTCGATAATATTTTCTTTGATAGTATCTCATTGGTCTTGGTACTTTTATTTTTAGTTAGGTCATTCGAGTTATTTTTGAAAATGTTTAAAAGAAATAATTAATAAAATATCGCAATAGGTTAACAGCTATATACACTAACCCTTTGGCACGTGAACAGCATCTGTAAACTGTCTTAACGGTGTATTGATATCAACAAAATCTTCAACAACACGGCCAACGACAGCATCTTGAATCTTTTTTTTCAACTCGTCTAACTTTTGAGATAATTTTCTACAACAGTATGGACATTTTTGCAATAATAATACATTAACAGAAACATTTTTGATTGTATATTAATACCTGGCTATTTGTTGGGCTTGAGGTGAATTGCCTTCTCCGCGTCTACACAAATCACTCAACTGTCGAGCTAAAGTTTCCACTTCATCGCAAAGATTCAATATTTCAGCTCTTTGAACACCAGGAAGTCCATCAGCTACCTATATAATATAAATCCACCCTATATAAATATATATTCTCCAAGCAAATTGATAGAAAAACAAAATAAATGTTACCCTGTGAGCTTCTTCGACAATCAATGCTATTGCTTTTTGACCCAAACCATTATCGTTTCTTTCCGGGTGCAATAACCATTGTCTGGCTTGATCCAATTGTCCGCCGAGAGTGTGAGCGACCTGCTGTCCTTTGGCCGCAGCTCCACTTTTCTCCGTATCGTTAACGGCCTTTGTCACAAGCTTGACTAATTCTCCAATCCTATCGTCAATGCTACGTGACAAACTTTCGGCCTGGGCCGTAGCGCCTTTACCGTCTTGTCGTAGTTCACAAAGCGCATTAGTCATTGTATTAATTTCAGAGCACAACTTCTGTATTGGTTCTCGTATTTTCGGTGGACAACGTTCCGATATTAAATGAGCTTGCTCGAGTAACTGGCGAATTGCTTTTTCACCCAATCCGCCAGGCATCGACAACGGTTCCTAAATGAATAATGAATATTTAAATAAATAAATGAGAAAATATTTTATATTGTATGTAATGTAACTAACTTGTAGCCAGTCATGAGCGCTGTTTACTTTGCCCTCGATTATGTTCAACGCCTTCCTCATTACTGTAATGTTGTCGGCTTCCCATTGGTCTTCATCGTACGTCGTCAGTTGTAATACTCTAATGATCTCTAGTATCTCTCCTGTCATTCTACTGGTCAGATAGTCTCTATTTTCAGCGGCTTCGGCAGCACCTTTACCTCCTGAAATTACACATTTACACTCGCTATAAAATTACACACATTTAAACAAATGTTGAATGAAAAATCTTTACCTTCCGACAATATATGAATGTAGATCTTCATGCTGCAAATAAGTATGGGCGCCAATGTCTTTACTTGATCCAGACATCTTATTAGAATGTCTCGATGTACTTGATGGGTTAGTTCTTTTTCACGAGCACCCACTTCTCTGGAAACCTTAAAAAATAAAAAACACATCAACAACAGAATTCAAAAACATAAATATTCGAGTTTTATCATACTTTGCTTAGGCTTGGGCTTAAGTCTTTGAGAAATTGAACTAAATCTTCCATGCTCTCGATAACTTCGGCGACGGCCAAATAGTCTAGCACTTTTTTACACTCTCTTATGATTTTCCTAACTTCAGATTCGTCGAAACATAATAACAATGAAGACGTTCCTTGTAAGATTCCTCGAGAACCCTCGATTAATTTTCTTCTAGCCGGTCCGCTATACGGGTCTTGTTTTAACATGGCCGACGCTTCTTCGAGAAGCCGTGAGGCGCCTTCGACTCGATAAAGTGCCGAGGGTAGATCTTGCTTAAGTATGGGATCATCACTACAGTTAATAGTCTCTTTGCCGACTTTGATTAAATTCATGACGGCGCGGCTGACGGCTTGAACCGGCTTTTCCAAGTCTGGCATTGCACTACCATCTTCGGCATCTTCGTGTAGAATGACTAGTCTGGAAACCTAATACAGAACATGTTTTTGAAAAATATTTAAACAACTAAATCGAGATGTTTGAGTAAATATTGGCATGTGACTTCTACTAATGTTTTAAAACAGGAGGGTTACAGAATCTCATATGGAGTCCATATGTATGATATTATTATACTCTAAAAATAGTCAATCCTGTACTCCAGCTACAGAACTCACTTACAGCATTAAAAATAGCATAGCTGAAGGATAACAAAATCATCACCAAAATCTTATTTTAACGTGACAACATCCAAATTCCCATTTTAGTAATGGGAGTCCAGATTTTCCACAAGGTTGATGTCGCTTATGTGGTCTTGATAATTGTTGATAAAATTGCTCATAATTTCAATGTTTTAATTATATGCGATCCAAGCCACAGAAATAAATTACTTTAAGTTGAGTCATGACGAGTGATGACTCATTAATAAAGTATTTACATCAAACATTCTTCGAATACCCAGCACGTGCACAACACTATCGAAAAGGTAGGTATTACCTACCTACTATCTCACAGTATCAAATTACGTGTTGATATTTAATACGGAAGTAGTTAACCTAGATTAATCTTACTTAATGGAAAGTATGTTTGTAAATTGTAATAATACTAAATAATCATTTCTTCAATTTAGAGAAAATATTTAAATAAGCCAATTTTTTTTTTTTTTTGTAGTATTTACTGATAAACAATTTAATCCGATTTTAGCAGATTTATGGCTTTAGTTGTTTATGTCAGAATTAAAAATGGTTTAAATTGTATTTTTCCTAAAATCGGTATCGACCGAATTATTTTATTGCCATAAATAGTATCAAAATTTGATTGACTAAAGATAAAATGATTTCACTTCGACACATTGCATAATACTTGACAATATTTTATCAAGATTTTATAGTAATCTTTTAAATTTATCTAAAAGAAAGAAATGAAAACAATTGTTCATCAAACGTATTTAATATTATCTAACTTCAATATTTAACTAAAAAAACACTGCATTTTGTTCCGCTCCACGGTTTTTTATTTTATTGTTTGAACTAGACGGATATAATTGAACGAGGACACATCTACATTATTGTATGCATGTTCCATTGTGACAAAAACAACAACAATACTAGGTAGTGTATTAGTTTATGGATAACATTAAAAATTACAATTAGAAAAAAAACTGATATCGTATTTTGTAATAGACATTAAACAGAGCAATATTAAAACAAGGTAATTACATTGAGAAATTTTGATCTTTGTGAAAATATTAAAAACCATCAATATAGACGATGAACGGGCAACGTTCTAAAGCGTTAAACACAATCACTATAATGATAGTGACATAATTTACGTTTTTTTGTTTAAATATAATATATTATATTTATTGCAAGTGAAATATAGCTGTAGTTATTATGCTTGTATAAATCAATCATCTCGTTAAAAACATATAAACACCACGATATTGTCGATGGATCCGTATTGGCACGGATCCATTTAGTCACTCCAACGATATTGTATGCGTCTAAAAGTCGCAGAGTACAAAAACAAATGGAAATTAGGTCAAGTTTGGAGACAAGATTATAATATTTTATCTTAGACAATAATTTAATGGCACAATGAATGATGACATTGCCGTTGGCATTGGCAGATGATGGACGAGATAACAGATGGTCATGTTCATACACACAATAGGCATGTCGCTATTGTTACTATTACGATTTTTTTTTACAATAATATTTACCTGCTGTGCTACAGGTTCCAAAATGCTTTCGATGGTTTTCGTGTGGAACACGGGCATTTTCAGACTTGTTGTGTGTTATTTTTCCAAAAGGAGGTCCCCGAGTAGCTGTTGATAACTGTGATAGCAGCGGTCGTGACGATGATGATAGTGAAAAAAATTAAAAAAGGTGCAAAACGCGTACACGCACACACACACGGTCGCACTCTCAATGGACCAGCGAAATAACCATTTATAGGAAACGACGTTGACTTCTTAAAATAAACACAATATTCTACTACTACTGTAATATACCAGTCTACGGTGCTACAGCTGCTGCAGAGGTGCGCCGCGCTCCCACTACACGGTCATGTAGCGACTACGGGCTACAGAGTCTACGGAGAACCGCGTGCGCGCCGGCGGACGAGTGGGGAAAGGCCGCGCCACTTCCTCCGCCGCGGCCGCCCGGACAATCCTGTGGCGCCTGCCGCTGTCTGTACGGCTGGCGAATCCAAAAAAAAACCCATATTATTTATTACACACATTGTATTAGTCACTGGCTCTGAATATTCAATCTTGCTCGGGGGGGGGGGGGGGGTTGTAAAAAAAATAATACTACCTGTTTCGAAATGATAGACAATTTTTTTCCAAACCAATTGAGTGATTTGTTGGATGGCCGCCATTCCCCCCCCCCAATTTAAAATTGTACAAAATTGCATTTTTATCTTTGATTTGAATTGTAAATTCCAAATTAAATACTTTGAAAAAATATCGTTTTAATTTTTACTCGTACGTTTTGTGTTTATTTTAAACTGGCAGTGAAAACGTTTTTGAAAACGTTTCTTTACACGTTTCTACTGCCTGTTTTTAAATGCAATTTTCCATTTGAAATACATTTCGGTAACTATTTTGCCCATCTCTGATAATATATTAATAATCGCAATAATTGTGCAGTTTGTGTGTGACACTGTTAAATAGTTTACAGTACATACGATTACAATCATTATATATTTTATTTTAATTTATATTAATATCAGAAGAGGTATATGCGTTTGAGCATTTTTAATAGTTAACAAAAATCAAAACTGTACAAAACACTTGATAATTAAAAATATAATTGTTAAATTATTAATTTATTATATTTATTTACCTACTTCAAGTTCTAAATTACTTCAGAGAAGTAACATTGTAACAATTATACAATAAAAACCTATAATATATCACTTTTTCACAATTTTTTTCTTGGCTCTGGGGGGGTTTAAAACCGAAAACCCCCAACGTAAGTACGCCACTGGTATTGGTCACTGGCTGAATATTGCTGTAACCGAGATTGGCAATTATTTCTTTTTAATGCCACTGTTTGATTTCCACAGCCGAATCTTGTCCTGTCCAGTGTTGCCAGAATTCAAAAATGAGATTAACGTACAATGTCTTCAAAATTACCGTAATTTACATAATATATTGAATTACCGTACACGAAACATTTTACACCATCTTGGCGAATTATAATATAACAAAGCTGTACAGGATCCATCAATTCATATTTTATGAACGGTAATTACCGTACGTTTGGCAACACTGGTCCTGTCACTGGATAGCTTCCCTACTCGGTAGTCTCCAAGTTCTTATTTACATAATGTTAACATACTTGCAATTTCTTCAAAAATTGATGATGTTTTTATCTGTTTGTATCGCGTTTAAAACCAAAAAAAAAAATTATTTTATTCAAATATAAAACTATGTCAACATAGGTCCGTTGTATAATATAAATATTTAATTATTATTATTTTATAAATAACACAGGAAACCGAAAAAGATGACACGAGGCCGTCGATTATGTTACCTTATCGTTAATCCCTCAATTTAATTAGGTTTTTAAGAGATAAAAAAACTGTATCATTTTTTTCGGGGGAAAATAACATTTTACATAATTTATAAATTTTCTAAAGATTTTATAACATTTCTTAATATTGTTTACCTTTCTAGTATTTTCTAGTCTGTATCAACTTTTGAAACTTAAATATGGTAACGCATACATTTCGTTAATTTTTTTAATTGAAAATAATTGGGGACTTGTCGATAACCCGGCAATAATAATTACTTTTAAAGTGCCTATACTTAAGCTTGAAATTTAGGACGGCATTAATATTTAGAACAATGAAAAATACAAACATTTTTACAAAACGCATCATTGTAAAGCCAATACTTGAACATTATTGATAAACAATGGATGAGATACAAATTAGATAATATTATGAGGGCAACGGCTAACCACAAACCTTGTAATCATTATACGTTTGACCGACGACACACATATTTCCTTGTACAGTAAAACACGGTAAAAAAAACGTTCCTTAAACGATTGAGAATAATAAAAAAACTGCAAACACAGTTACAGAGCTTAGAATATGGTTGTAAAATTGACTGTAGAACCATGAAAATATTTGCCATTGCCTAATGCAGCTGTGATAATAATTATGGAACGATATAATCTTTATAAAGAATAGTATAAAAGTCATTACTGCCAGGAAAACGAGCTCAAGGTAAATAAACGGTAAACTGAAATGATGACAAATCACCGTCAAAGATTGTTCCTTAAATTATATATTCCATACCTTAACTATGGTTTTTTTGTAATATTAATTTAAATAAGCCGTGTACAACGACTTTCACGCTTTTCCGACGATTATATTTTGTACATTATTTTTTTGGAACGATAATCTAGCGCAAAAATGTAAAAAAAACATTTAGGTGTATTAATAGGCGTTTGTGGGTGTACCATTTTATGATTTTGGCAAATTTTCTTGTGGATCCTTTTATGTAAGTAATGACACCGCGGTAAAATATCAACCGTTGTTATGTTGTATTGTTCGGTTGATTCAAATCAATTTCATTTGACTATTACTTTCACCGGAACTTTGTTTGACAAATTTCAATATAAAGATTACATTAAACTTTTAATGTAACATATTTGTGTAACTAATAGAATAAAATATCATATTTAAAATTCCTCTGTTGGGCTATTAACTAACAATACAGCCTCGCAGGATACAACACATAAATATAGACACTTGTTAAAATTGTAAATTGATAGTTGATGCTTAATTAGTTATTTTTATAATACAGCTTTCCACTTACAGATATCCGTTACTTACCAAAAGTGATGGAAATTTCAATCAACGAATAATAATCTGAATAAAAATATCAGTCAGCAATCTTGAGTAGTGACTAAATAATTAAAAACCAACATCATTTGAAGATAAATGTATTTATTTTATATAAGACGGATAATACAGCAGTAGATTTTTAGTTTTAAATAACATTATTTTTTAGTCAATGTGAACTTTATCTAAAATAGTTTAAATTTATAACTTGTTTATTTGAAATAAATAACAATAATAAAATACTTGAAGATATATTTTTTTTCTCCTTGGATTATTGTTTAAATATTAGCAATTCTAAGACAGCGTGTGTGTGCTCATTGTACTACGGCAGGAAACCCTAACTTTTCATAGTAGTTATCAAATACCGTACTTCGAAGATTAGTTATGTGTTCATTGACATATTCAAGTATTTCATCTGGTGGCACGCTTGGATATCTTTTGTTGAAATCAGCAAATATACAATTTTTTTGGTTTACAAAGGAGTTTATCATGTCATAAAACGAGTCGAAACTGGTTATTTGTCGGTTATATTCCGAGTGGACGTCCATGTTTTGGTCAGGGCTGCTGTTAGCTAGTATTTGTAATACAATTTCAGTGCGCGAATGATTCCTGAGCATACTGACATGAGCAATAAATTCTGAGACGTGCACCTCGTAGATATGATACAAATTTTTGAGCCACATCAAAGCACTGACCATGTGGTCGAACATATCCAACGAGTCTATGATGTGTTTTCTAATGGATTTATAGAATTCCAAGCGTTCTTGATAGTTTGGAATTCCCATGAGCCGCCACCGAGCTTCCATATTTTGACACTGATACAAACCGAGCCTTACCGAGATGATGTACTTGAACAGCACGTCCATGTACTCACAACCGAGCACCGTGACAATGATATAGAATTTTTCATCGACATTTTCTTCAGTTATAGGGTCATTGACAAGGTTTAGTGCGGAATAGATTAAATAATCATTTTGGTCTGAATCTTCTACCTGAACTTTGTATAGGACGTTGTTTATGTTTTGCCATCCATCGTAAGTCATTAGCTGCCTCAGCTTGACTATAACGTTATCTGGTGCACCCAGAACACATAACGGTTGGTGAACGAATACGGAAAATAAAACAACCAGCAAACACGATGCACGGTTAATCATTTTAAATAAAAATGATAAAAATCTTTTCGAAAAGTATATTATACTATACCGAATAAACGGTTCCTTACGGAAAACACAATAATTAAGAATATTACAAGCACCTCGGTAGGTAGTAGCTGGTTCATAGGCATATGCACAAACTTAATGTTTCAACTGCTTGTTATTCGTTTGGTTTAATCTCGCTAAACATTACCATTAAACAAAGAGCCACTTATTTACATAAAATTGTGGGTATCACAAAGTACATTATCCAATAAATTTTGTTATTTGAACAGTTTTCTTTGTAAGAAACTTTTTTATCAACGATTTTCTAGGTTTAAAGATCTGTAAAATAATATATTTAACATTTGGCTTATTTGGTCCTGATAATATCAGAAATATTTGAAATATTGGACAATTATTTCATACAACGCTAACCAAAATTGTTTTTTGCTAGCGAATTATTTAATCCGCATTTGTTGTTTATTAGAAATATGAACGTTCTGTTTTTTACAAATAACATTGCCTTTGCGTCATACTTTAATAAAGCGGTTTTTTTTTTTTTTTATTGATCTAGTAATAACAAACAACCCGGCATCCATGGCCATTAGTTTCAGATGTGGTGGAACAAAAGTCATTTACAATAGGTATACATAATGTTTGCGTATTCTAATAATTAAGAACGTGAATGTGTTTCACGGTCAGTCTTACACCGCAAGCTACACATATAGGAGTTTCTTCCTTAGCCATTAGATAACCATGGGTTAGTCTCGTGTGTCCGATTCGCATGCGGTTTAGTATTGTTTCATCTTTCCTTTTTAGAAAGCTGTTAATCCATCGGTTGGTGGAACTTTTAATAGTGTTCAGTTTGGTAGTTTGTTGCTTCCATAACTGAAGCGATTTGTCGTTGGACATCTCATTAATCTGGGCTTTTAAGTCATCGTATGTTAGCCCTGGTATTAATGTTACTTCCGCATTTTGGGTGGCAATTTTGGCCTGTTGGTCGGCTAACTCGTTACCTTTGATGCCTGCATGTCCAGGAACCCACATGAGCGTGATTTGTTTGTTCATAGTTGAGGCTTCGTT